TAAAGATTAACAGCCTCGGAAACCCTGTGCAGGGTCGCTATGAGTCGGAACCGACTCCACGGCACACAACAACACACACACACACACACACATGAGCACAAGGGACTTTTAAAAGTTTGTGGAAAGATGTCATTATCTTTTAATTCTATATTCTCACAATCTTTTCCAAGTCCCCTCATGTGCATGTGTGTGGTGTACACATAGTACTAGTCCTATGTACTTAGTCCTACCAGTTGCTGTCAAGTCATATTCAATTTACGGCAACCCCATGTGTTACAGAACAAAATTGTGCTCCATAGGATTTTCAAGGTTGTGATGTTTTTGAAGTATATTGTCATGTCTTTATTCCGTAGTGTCTCTGGGTTAGTTCCAATCACCAATCTTTAAGTTAAGAGTCAAGAGTTTAATTGTTCATGCCACCACATGTATGTATGTGTGTGCATGTATAGAAAAATCACAGTCTCAGAAACCCTACATAGAATCACTATGAGTCAGATTTGATGGCACTTAACAACAACATATATGATTTAATAAGGAGCTCTCGTGACACCATAGGAAAAGCACTACACTGCTAACTGGAAGATCGGTGGTTCAAACTCACCAGGGGCTCCCTGGGCAAAAAGATGAGCTTATAAAAATTGTCATGGAAACTCACTATGAGTCAAAATTGACTCACTATGAGTCAAAATTGACTCACTATGAGTCAAAATTGACTGATGAAAATAGGTTTGGTTTGGTTTTATATGCTTAAACAAAGATTAAACATGTTCATTTGCAATTATATATATATATACACACATTAAGATTTTCAGTGTAAGATAAAAATAGGTTCAAGTGTAAATCAAATACTCAATGACATGAATTAAAACTAGTATTATTAGGCCTTTGATTTATTTTCTCTTTCTAAACAAGTATATTACCTAGCTCTCTCTCCTAAAATGGCTCAGAAGTTTTTGGCAAAGCTGTTGGTAATGAATATTTGGGCCCAGATTGTGGTCTCTAAATAACATTTCCCAATAAACAGAACCAAGGTGTTCTGGAAAAATAGCTGATTCCAGATCTGAAGCAGGAAATGTACAAAATCAGCCTGGAGTAGCTTGTTATGTAGAAATTGGAGAAGCTATCAATGAGTAAGCAGTCTTTTCAAAAGGACACAAGGACCAAGCTGGAGTGGCTAAAGATGAGTAGATTGCATATAAAATAAATAATGTCTGCAATGGACTAAAGCAGCACATGTTGTTGTTAGGTGCCATTAAGTTGATTTTTGACTCATAGCAACCCCCATCTGACAAAGTATAACTGCTCCACTGGGTTTCCCAGGCTGTAATCTTTATAGCAGCAAATTGCCAGGTCTTTCTCCTAAGGAGACACTATTTGGGTTCACACCACCAACCTTTTGGTTAGTGTCCTAGTGCTTGACCATGACACCACCAAGATTCAAAATACACCATAAATACATATAAATCCATTAGTTTAAAATAAATTATTATAGATGCTGACGCATTAAGATGGTGGACTAGGCCAAAAGGCTAGTACAGACCCTCTACAACAAAGATACAGAAAACAAATGCAGATGATAGTTCTGGAATGCTGAGCTTCAAATGAAGGGATAGAGAAGTACAGTGGATGCTTACGAGGAGAGAATGCTGAGCAGACATGGCAAAAAAGAGAAAAAGACATCTGACCTGTGTGGGCAAACCAGATGGGTGTGGCTATCTTGAGCTTTTATGAGCAATTTCAGAGATAAGAAAACATACTGGCTCTGCAGAAACATACCTATGGTACACAGAGGCAGAAACATACCTATGGTACACAGAGGCAAAGATGCCATTTCTTTCTTGTTCTTCGCCCTCCTCTACTGACCAGAGGTGAGGCTGACCACACCCACATAAACCCCCAGGGAAGCTCCCTAACATCACAAAATATGAGAAGATAACCATTCAAGTAGCTGAAGGAACCCCAAACAGAATAAACTCCAAAAAAAAAAATCACCAAGATGTATCATAATAAAACTCTCCAAATTCAAAGACACTGAAAGAATCCTGAAAGCAGCTTAGGAAAAATGAAAAGTTACCTACAAAGTTAAGCTCTGATTTCTCAGGAGAAACTACACAAGCAAGAAGGCAACGAGGAGATATATACAACACTACAAAAGAAAAAAATTGTCAACCAAGAATCATATACACAACAAAACTGCCCCTCAAATATGACAGTGAAATTAGAATATTTCCAGATACAAATAAATTAGAGGAGCTTGTAAAAACCTGACCAACTTTACAAATAGTACTACAGGGAGTCCTTGGGACTGAGAACCAACAAAAGCAAACAACTGGTGCTTGACATATACGGTAACACTACCCAGAATCAATCCACATATTGTTGTATCCAGGATAAAACAATCCTACAAAACTGAAAATAGGGAAGCAGAGATAACAATTTATAATCAATACAACATCAAAGCCATAAAGGAAAAGTATAGTTATAGAATTTCTAATGGTTAGAAAGTAAAGATAAAACACACTGTTTTTAATTGAGGAAGAAATTAGTAAATCACAAGGTGCTATCAAATAAAATTAATTAACCTTCATATCAAATCAAGAAAAGGGAAAATCATAGACTTTACAATCATTACAACAACAGAAATAAAATGCACAAACAAAATGAACTCAGCACAGAAAAATAAGTGGCAAAAAGAAAACAGCAGCACTACAAAAAAACTCAGCGAAAAGACTAATCAATTATTAGTCTGAATGTCAAACGATTAAATGCATCAGTCAAGAAAGAGAAAGGAGCAGAATGAAAAAGACAGCAGGACCCTCCAATATGCTGCCTACAAGAGAGACACTTTATACATAAATAGAAAATAGATTAAAATTCAAAAGATGGAAAAACCTATCAAGCTAATGGCAATAAAAAATGAACAGGAATGGAAATATTAATGTCCGATAAAATACACTTTATGGCAAAAATAGTCTAAGAGGTAAAGAAAAATATTATCTCAGGATGAAAGGGTCAATTGAAGAGGACGGCATAGCCATAATAAATTCCTATGCTCCCAATGAAAGAGCCTCAAAATACATGAATCAAACTCTAATAGCACTGAAGAAAGAAATAGACAGCTCTACTATCATTGTTGTTGTTAAGTGTCATTGAGTCCATTCCTACTCATAATGTCCCTATATAGTGTTTCCGAGGAGTGGCTTGCGAGCTTGAACCACCGTCCTTGTGGTTCACACTGACTTTGCAGTTCAAACTTACCTTATGGTACAAGTGCAATAACCCATAGCACCACACCAGGACTGCACAGTAATACTAGGAGACTTAAATGCACCATTTTTGATAAAGAACAAAACAAGAAGAAATAAATTCAACAAAGACACAAACTAAACAACACAATCATCCAACTTGACATCATAACACAAATTCTTTTCCAGTGCACGTGAAACATTCTCCAGGATAAACCATGTGGTAGGCCCAAAGCAAGCTTCCAAAATCTCAAAACATTAAAATACAACAAAATATCTTTTCAGAACTCAACAATAGGGAGATCAAGAAAACAAGATCAAATTTATGGAAATTGCATAACAACCTGCTTAAAACTACTAGATAACAGAACATGTAAAATAACCAAACAAGAAAATTCCTTGAATCAAATGAGAAACAAAACACAACATATCAAAACCTTTAGGATACAGCAAGAGCACTGTTTAGAGGGCAATTTATAGCAATATATATATATACACATCCAAAAAGAAGGAATGAAATTTATACATTTTTTGTCACCAACAATGAGAAGATCAGCTAAGTAAGCCTTTAGTCGAAAGAAGAAAACAAATCATAAAGATTAGAGCAGAAATAAATTAGAAAACAGAGAAACGATAGAAAAAATCACCAAGACAAGAAGTTAGTTGCTTGAAAGGATTAATAAAATTGAAAAACCATTGGTTAATCTAATAAAAGAAAAGAAGAGGATTCAAATAATACACGTAAGAAACCATATGGGTGATATCACAAAAGAACCAATGGAAATAAAAAGGTTATAAAAACAGAATACTATGAAGAATCGTTCTCCAATTAAGGTGAAAATCTAGAAAAAATGGAGTAAAAAAAACCCATGACCTCCCTAAACTGACAAAGAGTGACACAGAAAATTTGAACACACCTATAATAGAAGAAAATGATCAGGTAATTTAAAAACTCCCAACAAAAAAAGTCTGGGCCCAGGTGGCTTTACTGCTGAATTCTGCCAAACATTCAGAGAAGAGCTGACACCAATTTTGCTCAAACTAAACAAGATTCTAGAACATAGCAAAGGATGGAAAGCTCCCAAATACATTTTATGAAGCAAGTATTACCCTCAGATCAAAACCAGGCAACAACATCACTAAAAAAGAAAATTATAACCAGTATACCTCATTAACATAGATGTAAAAATTCTCAACAAAATCCTAGCCAGTAGAATTCAACAATATATCAAAAATTGATACATCATGGCCAATGGAATTTATACCAGGGATGCAAAGATGGTCCAGTATTTGAAATACAATTAACATAATCCACCATATAAATAAAACAAAGGAAAAGAATAACATGTACATACTGATTGATGCAGAAAATTCATTTGACAAAATCAAGTATCTATTCCTGATAAAAACACCCAGTAAAGTAAGAGTTGAAGGGAAATTCCTCAACATGATTAAGAATATTTATAGAAATCCACCAGCCAGTATTACTGTTTTGTTGTTGTTGTTGTTGTTGTTTTTAATATAACTAAAGAGGATTTATTTTGAACTGAGACTTTACCTTGAAGACATGACTAAACTTTGTCACTACTACCCACCCCCATCCATCTGGTAGAAGGGTTAATACAGGGAAATGTTATAAAGTAGATATGAACATCTTGGAGGATTTGAACCAACATTAACTGACAACTGTCTTTTAAGCCATCATAAAAATGTTTAAGTAGAAAAAAAAAAAGAAAAAGAAAAAGGTGAAGAGTGTAAAAAAATGGAAACCGGACTACTATAATCCAAAACTCCCGCTACAACACACTGTACACACCTGTGTTCCAAGCCCACCCCCAGCCCCTTAATGCCTCCAACTCAACTGTTTCCCAGCCTGTTGAGCGTGCCAATGACGAAGCATGTACATCATCTCCTTAATCCAATCTTTGTTGTAAGGTTGGTATGTCTGGGTGTCAGTTTGGTAAACAAGACAGCTGAAGTCTGCCAGATCATCAGTAAAATCAAACACCTGACTGATATCATATGTGATTGAGGAACTGTTGGGATTCATTCTCTTCAGATGTTCTTCATACATTTTACAAACACCTTCCATGCATTCATTTACAGATTCATAGTCAGCATAAGTTCTTCCTTCTGGCCTCTTGGTAGGCTCTGCTAACAAAATGGTGTGAGACATCATGCCGAACTCTTTCGCTGCAGCCGCTGTTCCAGCCAGTATTACTTTTAAAGGAGGGAAATTGAAAGCATTCCCTTTGGGAACAGGGACCAGACGAAGACGCCCTTTAAAACCACCGCTATTCAGTACCATGTTCAAAGACTTGGTCAAAGTATGAGGCAAGAAAGGGAAATTAAAGAGAAAGTAAAACTCTATTTGCAGATGATATGATCTTATACATAGAAAATCAAAGATTCTGCAAAAAAAAAAAAATTATTGGAACTCTGAAAATTTCACAAAGTGGCAGGGTGTAAGAAAATTAAAAAGTTTGATTCCTGTATGCTAATAAAGACATCTCTGAAAAGGAAATTAGGAAAACAATACCATTTACAATGTTGTTATTGCTGTTACGTGCTGTTGAGTTGGTTCTGACCCATGGCTGATGATACAGAGCTTTTCTACCATCTATTTCCACAGATGTAGTCAATTTGATTTCTGTGTATTCTGAGGAGGTCCATGTGTGTTTTTATATTGCTTAAAAAAGGTATTCGTAATGAATAATAGTTGTTGTTGTTGTTGTTAGCTGACATTGAGTCGGTACCAACCCATAGTGACTTTATTCACAGCAGAATGAAACACTGCCCAATCCTGGGCCAACCTCACTACTATTGTCTCACTTGAGTCCATCGATGCTGCCACTTGGCCAATCCATCTCATTGTGGGTCTTCCTCTTTTTCTCTGACCCTCCACCTTACCAAACATGACAGCTTTCTCCAGTGACTGGTCCCTCCTGACAATATTTCCAAAGTATGAGAAACAAAGTTTGGCCATCTTAGCCTCCAAGGAGCATTCTGGCTGCATTTCTTCCAAAACAAACCTATTGGTTATTTTGGCAACGCATGGCACTTTCAATATACTCCTCCAACACCGTAACTCAAAAGCATCAATTCTTCTATGGTCTTCCTTATTCATTATCCAGCTTTCACATGCATATGAGGTTATTAGACACCATGGCTTGGTATTGAATAATAGTGGTATTTATTAATCGGTCTTCCCTGTAGGTGCATGACTATTATCCTATCACAGAAAGCATTGTACTTCATGACTGATCATGATATGCTCTTTTGATGATGAATGAGACATGAATCCTCTTCAATTTGTCATTCCAAGCCTGTTAAACCATATTTGTCAGATTCAAAATGGCCAATACCAGTCCATTTCAGTTCACTAATGCCTACATTGTTGATACTTATGCGTTACATTTAATTTTTTTACAATTTTTTAATTTTCCTAGATTCATACATGACATGTTCTGATTATTAATGGATGTTTACAGCTCTTTCTCTTCATTTTGAGTTGTGCCCTACCAGTAAAGGGAGATCTTGAGGGTTCTACTCCATTTGGGTCATCATGGCCAACTCTAGTTTGAGGACGCATCTCTTCCCCAGTCGCATTTTGACTGCCTTCCAATCTGAGGGGCTCATCTTCCGGTACTCTATCTGACAGTATTCTTTCTGGTGTTTCATCATGTTCATCATGTTTCAGTACTCAATAATCTGGTGCTCATAGTGCTCCACTGCTATTCGTAAGGTTTTCAGTGACTAGATATTGGGAAGTAGTCCATCACTCCTTCTTCCTAGTTTGTCTTCATGTGGAAGCTCAGCTGAAATCTGTCCACTGTGGGTGACTCTGCAGGTATTTAAAATACATGTGGCATAGCTTCCAAAATAATAGCAATACACAAGCCTCCACAGTACAACAAACTGACAGATGAGTGGTGAATATATATACACATATATGTATGTACTAGGATTCCTGGTGTGGCACTATAGGATAAACCCTGGACTTCAAGGTCAGTTTGGACCGCAAGGTTAGTTTTCTATGAGTCAGAACCAACTCAACAGCACTTAACAACAACATGAGTACATATTAATATATGCATATATATTTTATACTTTTGAATAGTCTTATATGCATATACTTAAATTTCATAATATATATCCATATAAACATATATAGTATTTAATATCATACCTGTGGATGCATATTCATATATGCATACAGCCACATTTCATTTCACATGTCCTTAAGGTTCCCTGGTGACACTGTGGTTTAGGTGCTTGGCTACCAATCTTAGGGTTGGTGGCTCAAACCCACCAGATACACCTTGAGAGAAAGTTGAAGTTGTCTACTCCCATAAAGATTTACAGTCTCTGAAACCTTATATATGGTTGCTATGTGTCAGAATCAACTCAGTGGCAGTAGGTTTGGTTTGATGTGTGTTCTTATATATACCTACAGCACTTCATCAATGCCTTTGGCTCCATGAACCCTCACTGACCAAGCATTTGGAAGAATCACTATACCAGAGAAAGACCACTGGACAAATATGGGCCCTAGAACCCAGAGCTATATCTCCAGAATGAAAATTGGATTAAAATGTTAACTAGTATGCTCATTTAATAACATAACTAAATCAGTCTCATTTCTAATCTATTAATTATATAGCAATAGCTAAAAACAGATGTGGGGGGAATAATAAAACGTTTAAAAGAAAATGGAGATACTCATGAATTTCACTCTGGTTGCCTTAGGGACTATGACCAAATTTTCCTGCCATTCCAGATTTTGTTTGCTTTAGGATTTCAGGTATATTTGGATAAAACAGAATATTTTTTTAGAAGCAGTTACTTTTTCCTCATGTTCATGGAAGAAGAGAAGGGGAATCCTCCCTTTTTGGCAACAGAAGGTGTTAAGAAGATGCAGTGACCTCTTAGGAAGGTCAAAGAGGCAGAACACAAATTCAATGACAGAACACTAATTTGACTGATTTTCAATCCCTGCTGCTTACCCCTTTGTCTCTTATCATGTGCGTGTACAGGGAGCTAATAATTGTATGGTGGTGATGGTGGTGGTGATTCAGTACCAACCGTGGAGTCGCTTCCAACTGATAGTGACCCTGCATAGCGTTTCCGCAGCTGTAAATCTTTATGGGAGCAGAAAGCCTCATCTTTCATCCACGAAACAGCTGGTAGTTTTGAACTACTGACCTTGCAGTTCGCAGCCCGATTTGTTACCACTACGCTATCAGATTATTCCGTAAAGATCTATAGCCTCGGAACCCTATATGCAGGGACGCTATGAGTGGGAACTGACTCCACAGCACATCACTACCACCACCACCACCACACGATCAGAACTCCTTAATAATTGCATAGATGATTAAATGTAATAAAATATACTTACTTCCATCTAAAATCAATGTCAAGCTTGCCTCCTTAGTACACTGGGTTGATAGGGATGGGCAACTTAGACTTCAACTATCAAAATTGGGGGGCTATAAAGGCACGAGGAGTCTTGGTGTGACGCTACTGATTAACCACTGCATGGCAAAGTCAGTTTTTCAAGCTTACCAGTTGCTTCTTGGAAACCTTATACAGGGTTGCTATGGGTCGGAACTGACTCGACTGCACTTAACAACAATAACATAAAGGTACAAAGTGGCTGGCTTACAAGTTTTCATGAGGGTGCTTAGTGTCCGAATGAAGGAAGTAAAATAGAATCCCCACTAAATAGTTCTCCTATTGTCCAGAATGGTCCGGTAATGAGGGGAATAAGATATATACATTTTTTTTTTCATTTACTTGAGTTTGTTATTTAATTTTCATAAGAAATATACAAAACTAAAGTATCTTTACACTAGTATACTTGGTTCCATCTTCCACCTCCCTTCTTTGTAGACACGACCACTTTTAGGAAATGTGTGTACTGTTCTAATTTTACATAAGATATTCACCCATAACTGAAGCTTAATGTGAGTTTTTGGTTAGTGATTATACTCAAATTAACACCGCTTTCATTAAATTAGAGTCATTTTTCCTTCTGTGTTTCTACACATTTTTGAGATTTTCCTCCATTAATGCAAATTCACTGTACTTAACTGGAGTTATTCTACTACATGACTATCATACTTTATTCATTCCGCTCACAAGTGGCATATTTGCTTACATTTTTTGGCTGCTATAATTCCTGCTGTAATAAACATACTGGTATGCAGTTCCCTGGCTACATGCTTCATTTTATTGGGTATTGTTGTTAAGTGCTATCAAGTCAGTTATGTATTTATACTTAAAGTGGAATTGCTGGAGATTCCATTTTAGAAATTCTTTCAACCCCAAGGTTTTAGACATTCTCATTATAATACTAAGTTTTGCCTTTTGCATTCTAGTTTCCAATACTTGAAAAATTCATAAAAAATATTTTGATGTATGATGACTGAAAACCTATTATTTTCACACAGGAAGATTCAATTACCCTGAGACTACCAATCATCCATGGTGTCCTTAATTAGTGATGCCACTTATATTAATCACCAATTTCCCATAAATTGACAATTCTGTATTCAATATTCTTTTCTAATCTCTATTATTATATGTCTTACATCAAAAGCAAATAATTTTGATTATGGCTTTACAAATCATAAAACTGTAATTTTAAAACAATTTTGTCTCTTAAATTCATATCCTTTGATCTCTTCTGTATTGGGTAGGCATTCTAGGAGCACACTGGTAAGTTGTAAAATAACAGTGTGTATCTCTGGATCTTCACTTTAATAATGGGAGTGTGCTCCTGAAAATAAAGGATTAACAACATTGTGTAAACTCTAGGGATACAGGTTTTCATTATACGAGGGTAAAAAAAAAAAAAAAAAAATTTTTTTTTTTGTTACTATGGGTGCAGTTCCTACATGCAGAGGTTGATTCTCTGTGATCAGTGGACAGCCGCACACAAGTTCTCTCAGTAATACATCTGTCTTAACCTCACTTCAGTGCCCTCAAAAAAAAGAAAAAACTCCAATCACAATATCAAAATTGTGGCTTCTAAGGCGATCTGATGGGCCAGTTACATTCAAGGCAGAGGTTAGCCCAGGTTATGTGAAGAATCTTTTGGAACTTCAAAGGGGTGATCTATATAGACTTTCTCAGAGGGCACAGGACAATCTGGAGGACTTATTAGGAAGAAATTTTTTGTTTTTTTAAATAG